AGCCATGCAGAGTAAATACTAAGGTAGGGCACATTGCACATTAAAGGGTTAATGTATACCTTCTTCATTGTCAGACGTTGACTCGATTAGCACTGATACAGCATGATCTAAACCATTAGTATCATTAATTGCATTGAGCAACTTTCCCTCAGTATATGAATTTTTAAATATCCCTTTCAACACTCCCAGCCTGTAGTTGGTGTCATCTTGCTCAAGTGAAGTGCTTTCATTGAATGTTAAACTAGTGAAACTACTAGAGTCTGAGCTCTCGTCAAAAGTCTTTATACTTTCCGCCTTTTCAGACCGACAGTTTTCTGTATCATCATCACTAGAGCTGTCAAGTATAGTTTTTGAAGAGTACTTTTCGTCTGCACTATTTTTCCCGCTTGACTTCGTACAGTTTGCCTCACGTAACTTGCACTTTTTAAATGGACTTATTAATAATTCTTCATCAGAACTCGCTTCTCTATCAGTTGTGATTCTATTCATATCTTCTTTTAATATAGGACATGGTCGTTTGTATTTAAAAACGGATAAGTTAGTAGTAATTTTTCTTTTCATCTTATTTTATACATGTGTACATCACAAGTACTCGCATGTCGCAAATAATTTTGCCACAATGCCACTTGAAGTTTACCGCCAATTTTGAGCCATACATCACAAGGCGTTTCGTGTATTCGCCGAACTTCGTCGTACGATCGACGTTCAATGACCTCGTTTCGTTCCTTTCTGCAAATTTACAAAATAAGAGCAAAAAAGGTACAGTATTTTTCTGTGAAAATTCTTATGCTGTAAGAGTCTCTTATCACAAAAATATTAAAATAGTTTGTTTAAAACTCAAATATTAGAAGCATTCTTGGAAAAAATGTACATCAACGTGACATCACGATGTTAAACCACGGTTAACCGTGGTTAAACCGAAGCTGTAAAAACGCATCATTCAGCGGTAGTGCAAAGTTCATTTTCCACATAGCTGAAGAAAATTTCCTTTGAAATGAAATTCCGGCTAGTGAGAATTTCAAACTGCAGTGCCCTTCTTTTATTTTCAATAATTCATTGGTCTGTAGTAATAAAATTTATTGGAGCATATACTGTAGCTCCTTGTGTGATAAAAATTAGTGAATAAAGTCATGTTTTACCATTCATATTACGGTGAAAAACGTAAATTTGAAAATGAAAATCATTAGTGTGCAACTGATCTCAAAGTGAGAAACTGGATTATCCTTTTGTTGTTATGATCAAGCTGTGGATCAAACTAGGGGAACATCAACATGGCACTTGTTTTAGTTTTGGCTGGAGGAGTGGGCATAATTCAAGTTGCTTTTATCATAAATACAATTCAAAAAGCTTGTCCCGGGTTAACTAAATATCCTGCAGTCCGTCAGGCTTTAAGGTTTATTCAAGTAAGCCCGATTGCTGTCATGGTCGCCTCTGCAATTTGGTTCTTCTTCCTCGTGTTTCTGCCTGTTAAAGTGGAATATCCGTATTCTTCGAAAGAAGGACTACTTTTAATCATCCTCGCTTGCTATTTATGGCTGAACGTTACATTTAATTATTTCGCCGCTATGTTAAAATCGCCGGGGTATCCGTCAACAGCTTTGGAAATTGAAGAAAATGGTTTATCATTGGAGAACGACAGCATCCTTTGTTTCAAATGTGATCGAATGAAATCATGTGACACGCATCACTGTGGCACGTGTGGGACATGTGTTACTATGATGTGTCATCATTGCCCATTCACTAACAACTGTGTTGGACTCAAAAACTACTCTTATTTTTACCTATTTATTTGCTACAGTAACATTGGACTGATATTTTCCCTGTATATGACCTACGACCCATTTTATCATTGTATGGTTTACAATGGAGAACAACTGTCATTGTTGCCATGGTATCCACCTAACATATGTCGCAAACTGGGTGACTTTGCAGTCATATTTATCCCAGTTGCATTTATGGCCATGTTTGCTGCCGCAATGTTCTTGTTGCAAACGCTTCTTCTTGCCACTGACTTGTCGACCATTGATCTCTTGACTAAGATGCAAAGATCACGAAATTTCATGCAATTTGGAAGAATGCTTCTCGACAGGATAGTTGGGCACAGAAAGAGACGGTTTCAAGTGATGCTCTTGTATTCTCGTGAACGTTGGTGGCAATTCTTGGTGCCGAGTTTTAACGTACCTTCAAGACATTTAGAAACTGTCAAACTGATGGTCTAATTTTAAAATATGATGAACACCCTGAAGGGTGTTTGGAAGGAAATTTAGGTTTAGTTATAGGAACTACAGTTTGAGTTTAGTCAATTCACTGTAATATGAAAAAGTATTCCATATTAATTCTGCGGGTGGGTGTAATTTGCAGAATGCGACTTCTGTACTTTCGCTCAGCGGTGATATGTAAAAGCTGTCTGAAAGGGTTAGGTTCCTAACTTTGTAAAAGCTGAGTGAAACATTCTGCATCACCCGCCATTAATTCTGCAGTTTGTTAAATATTAAATATGTATTTCATATCTATGAATATTTATTCTATTTAATACAAAAATATTGTCAAACTAATATATGCATCTTAATTCATGACCATATTTAAATATTTAATTTATTTGCCAATGGATTATTAAGTTTAATAAAAATGGTTAGATCATTTGCATTTAGTGCATTTTCCATCAGCACCAGACTGCCAGCATGTTTGCCAGGTCACTGGCCTGTTCCCATAGTTTGGCCTGCTTACATGTCCAAGGTTATTCGGATATCATTTTCTTGTCTTTATTGTGATCAAATTTCTCATCATGTCAAAACTGTTGCCGTCAGGTCGAACAGATTGTACTTCATTTAAGCCATTTACAACAGACAAGAAACCCATATCATCCAGTCCTGTTATAGTAACCATTTCACCATTCTCATTTCCAAGATTCACCTTTGCCTCACTAGATATGTTCAAAACAATGGTTAAACTGAACTTTTGTTTTGCTAATAATACAATTAAATTGTGGAAGTGTACGTTGAACTAACAAAAGCTGGTTGGCTACCTGCAGCATGTATAGTCTACAAAAACAAACAACTTAAAAACTTTAAAAAAACCCAATTACCTCAATTAATTATTAAGTAACATTTCCTACCTGTGTAGCCACCTTAAATAATATTTCTCAAGAAAGCATTTTGGTCCAGATTGTTGAAAATCTTTGACAAGATATTCCATTTCATTTAGTATCCTGGCTAAAAGTTGTTCTCTGGTTAGTTTTCTTAGAGCCATGTTTGATGCCATGTTTCTTTGTTCAATCACATCATTTATACAAGTCGTCGGTTCACTGTTGGCAAGATTCACTCCAATACCTGGCAGATATAAGGACATGTTTTTCACTTTACTTCTTGAGTCAAAGACAAAGAAATTTATTTTATATATATATATACCTATTACTGCATGAAGACTTCTCCCTTGTATTGCGGAGTTGACAAGAATTCCACCAATCTTTGTGTCTTTGCCAAAGTAGATATCATTTGGCCACTTTATCAGTATACCTATACCCTACAAATGAAAACACATCCTTTTGATAAATGACATCACAAATTTCCTCTTGGCTCAGGAGCCTTGTTCTCAAGAATTGTGAGTGAATTGCCTTTCATCTTGATTCATGAGAGCAAGGCTCGAAGGAAGTGGCTCGAAGGAAGTGTCTAGTAGTATGCTGAAACTCTCAAATGTAGAACAGTTTAATCTTCAGTACCTCGTAACCATTCATGCCTCTAACAGCATCAACAACAGCCAGTGCGGCAATATGCTGCACAAAGGGAAGACGTTGGCCAAGATTTGAATCAAGCTCAACATGCAAAGAAAATGAGAAAGATAAACAACCATCTGGTGATAACCACGCGTTACCTCCTCGCCCTACAAGTGAAATAACCAATCAATCATTTTCTGCTTTTGTTCGTGTATTTATATATAGGCTGTTTACACTTGCAATTTTTACTGTGATTTTAGGTGTGATTTTCTTCTACTGATGGATGTAAACAACTGGATGAGTTATGAAGTTCAGATGAGGGTATATAATTTAACTCTAAGGTTCAGAATATAACTCATCTACTCGTTTCCATGCATCGGAAGAAAATAGCAGCAAAAATTGCAAGTGTAAACAGGCCTAATATGGATGGTCAAACAAACCTTTTCCAACCGTCTGTTGCCTGGCAACCAAAACTAGACCATAACCTTCTGGTAATTGTTTCACCAATTTTAAACTTCTGTTAAAACCAAAAGCATGGCAAATGGAGTCATATTGACAGATCCATCTATATTGTTGATGTCTAATTCAACAAGAACATGTACTTTACAGTTTGGCTTTGAAACAGGTTACATATCATTTGCTTACCCATTAAGAATTGTTTGTGTTGATGTAATGACTTCAGTATATATGACCAGTTGTCCTAAATGTTTTGTTTTCAAATGTTCCTTATATAAAGATAAACTAAATGAGGCCTGATCTGGCTTGCCATTGGTTATGACGGGGAAGTTATAATTGGATATGGGTGTGTCTTTGTTCTCTGTGAAGAGAATGTTGATATTATTTCCTTTGAAGTAGTTGTCTGTCAGAAGATCTTGAATACTTCCCAAGAAGATGTCCTTGCCCTTTGGAATATGATAGAGAAATGTTAGACCGAACATATTTTCAATATATTTGCATGTGTGTGTTTCTCACACAAAGGTACTTAACCCATTAAGCTGCAGAGCTTCCCCATTGACAAATAAAATCGTCTGGCATTAGACAAGTAAAAAAAAAGTAGAGCCCACTGGGATGCATTGCATCTCAATGGGTTAACTAGAGACATTGTCAGATTTTTTGGTAAACCCATTAAGCGCTGCAGAGCTTCCCCATTGACGAGTAAAATCGTCTGGTGTTAGACAAGTAAAAAAAATAAGTATGTCGCAATGGGTTAATAAGGTCTTCACATCTGCCATTTTTGGGTGGCCCCACTGCACAGCAACAAAAGATGGCAACAAAAGATGGTAAGCAAATAAGTAATTAAAGTAAATAAGCACTAAGTTATATTATAACCTTGTCATCTCCCAGTAAGTATGCATTGGTGAGAACTGACTTATTAGCATCACCACAAGTTACTCCAAGAAAGTTCAACAATATTTTCAACAGTTCTTTTATTTCATTGTGTAATTCATCATCCAGTGTATCCATAGAGATCTGCGTAGTAGTAAGTATTGCCGTGCCATCCCCATGTGACATGCTAATAACAACTGGTTGAGACGCTTGTAAACTTACAGCTAGGACTTCAATATTTTCTTCTTTTTTAACTAAAACAAAGAAAAGTCAAATATATTTGTATTTTCAAAATTTCAGAAACACGATTTTCATATTTTCCAGTCTGAGGACTCGGGTGGCTGATTGGAAAGTTTGGAAATTGAATTACACCAAAACTATGTAACCTAGATCGAAACAATACAATTAGACCAAAATGTTATAACAAAGTGACTAGATGACCGGCAGCCGGCTATCTAGTAAACTGCCGGCAATATGATGACTATAGTTACATATAAAAAACATTTGTTTGCACTAGTTTTACCGAGCTTGCCGTTAGCGCATACAGCAAAGACATTGCATGCGGAAAGTGAAACCGAGCCGGGGTCGGGTTTTATTTTTAACGTCTGACTTAGCATATTTTTTTCTTAAAATTTTTTCAACTTTTTCTCTGCCTTTTTAACTCTCAAAAGGTTAGGGGTCAGGGTTAAGAGGAGGGTTTGGGAACGGTTTATCTTATAAAAATTCAACTTTAATTATAGTCACTATATAGCCGGCAGTTTACTAGATAGCCGGCTGCCGGTGTCACAGCGGATTTGGACCCCCCAGTAGATTTGGACCCCCCGGTCCAAATCTCCTAGTAGATATGGACCCCCCGGTCCAAATCTCCTAGTAGATATGGACCCCCTTTAGCGGATATGGACCCCCTTTTTTAAACACTTTTATATACTAAAAACAACCCCAATAACAGTAAATATGTTAAATTCATTAGTTTTCAGATACCCGGACCTGCTTATCAACCACACATAGTCATTTATTGTGAATAGAAAACTTTTTTTATTGCCAGTGAGATCCAAATTCAAAAATCTTACTACAAATAAAGGTCCAAATGGAAAGTATGTATACAACTATAAAAGGATAAATAAACACGCTAAAAACTCATATATATACGTAATATGGCGTTATATCTGAACAAGTCGAAAAAATTCAAAAACGTGCACTGAGGATTATACTGCCAGGTCGATCCTACGGTGAAGCGCAAGAAATGTTGCAGTGTCCTAGGCTGGATATACGTCGAGGTGAACTTTGCGAAAAGACGATGAAAAATATTGCATTGGGCAGTCGTCTTTCTTCCCTTCTAACTCTCACCAGTGAGAACGAACATGTGTATAATTTAAGGAATTTTAAACAATTCGCTTCTTTTAAATGTAGAACTGATAGATTTGGTAATAGTTTTTTCCCTAGCATGATTAGTGTTTTAAACAAATAATTGTTCTTAGTTATAAGTTCTTATTTAATAATCTAATGATATATTGTAATATAGTTACTTTTAGTATTGTAATTCCCATTCAAATCAATTGTAAAACACATTGTAATTCATTTTCATGCGATGATGTGTTATTAAAATACCATTATTATACCATTATTATTATATATTTAACTTTTGAAGGGGGGTCCAAACCCGCCAACGGGGGTCCATATATACTAGTAGATTTGGACCCCCGGGGGTCCAAATCTACGGGGGTCCAAATCAACTGGGACACCGGTCATGTAGTCACTTCGATGTTATAATTTATACATAGCTATACCTTTATAGATTGTATCAATCCCAGGCACGTGTAAACATGGTCCATGTCTCAATTTCTCAGACAATTGTACTTCTTTTATGCTACTACTAACATCACATAAGCTAAGAGCATCATTTAATGTATAAAAGTTTGAAAAACCTAGCAATTTTCCACCATCTTTGACGTAATTATCAAACACATCTTCACGAGGCTTGTCTAGGATGTGATCAGATGCCAGTATCAATAGTTCAGTATTTTTTGTCCAAGGTTCTTGTAGAACTGAATCATGTTTAAGTTGGTAAATCACGTATTTATCTTGATGCAAACATTGTTTGAGCAATTCTTTAGTCTTTTGGAACTTTTCATTTAATTGGTCATCTTTTCCGGTGTAAATCAAAATGTTAGGAGGTCTACCTGATGATTTTTTTACAACACAGTTCACAGCTGAAGTATGTAGTAATGTATTTCGTAATCTGCTAATGACACCAAAAATATACGGCAAAGCAAACATATTCTTTTCTAAAACATAACTAAAATAACAGCAAAATGTCCGCCATCTTGCTAGACTTAACACTACTTCATGTATGACTATTATTATGTCTACTTTTCATAACCCATTGTATACATCGTCATACCTCATTATATATAATTACTAATCATTACCCATCATTTTACATTGTTGTACATCATCCTACACAATTATACATAAATGTCCATTATTTATCTTTCACGATCACTCAATATCATTTAGCATCCCTATGCATCACCCAATATCATTCTGCATCATTCCCCATCATTCAACATCATTCCCTATCATTCAGTATCATTAAGCATCATTCCCTATCATTCAACATCATTCATTAATCCCTTGTACATTTTGTACATATTTTTAATTTATAAAATATTTAACAATTTCTGTTTCAATCAATAAGGCCCGTTTCATATGCCGTACTTCACATTACTTCACATTAAAAACAATAGATAATGAGGCATTTCAGCTAATTATCTAATATATCTATTGTCTTTAATGTTTCGGCACATGTGAAGTATGGCGTATGAAGCGGGCCTAAGTTAATTACAACATAACAATATTAATGGATAATGCGATAATTTAAGATGTACATTAAAAGACGATAATAAAATCCTAAATTTATATATATAAATTAATACTCACATATTTACATACATTAAATATTGTTAAATATTTATTTCTATAGTTTTATGTCTACAACCTGATGCCATCAATGTCTTTGCTATCACCAGATTGTTTGGACTATGATTCTTATGTGTGAGGATCATTTTGATGAAGATTTTGTCTGATTTTCTAGAGTCAAGAAAAGCCAACATCCATGTACATGCATGTAGTCATGGGCACCCAGATGGAGGGGGTGGGGGAGGGGAGACTTTCTCTGGGCCCCTAGCTAAAGGCATCACAACAACAATTGCAAAACATCAATAAAAAAGATACATTGAGGAGCTCAACTTCTCTAGCTATTAAAAAAAGAAAAACTTTAAACAATATATTATTACATTAAACAAACTGTCACTGAGGAAGTTTCTCAAAACCTCCTCCAAATTTCCACAAAAGAAATTTCCTCTCTAATTAACAAAGCCAAAAACCGGTATAGCAATATTAAATATGGGACCAGTACAATTTTTCTGAGCACAGAAGAAACGCACAAGAAAGTTCTCATCCCCGATTTATGAACCTTGTAATTTCGCAACAAAATTAACTTACATCTTTCATGAGTCTTTCCAAGTTCCTATTTCGACCAACTTCCTCATGTTCTTTCCTACAAAAATGATTTTTTTAATCAATCCTTATTGACTTTAATAATTAATTGAATCAAAACAAACAGCACACACATAGTTATGAACTAAAATTGTTATGAACTGATATTAACTAAAATATAAACAGTCTTGAGATAAAATAAATAAACTTTAAATTGAATACCGATGTGATTCTTCAACATCCAGTTCAAAATGAAGTTGAGCCAAACATTCTTGTGACTCTCTTATCTGATCCATTTTATCAAGAGTGTATTCATTACCTATTTAATACAGTTGTATGCTGTTTTACTCTATGGTCGGTTGCAGTGATCTGTGTAACAAAACTTTATTTCATTAAAACTGAAAGGATCATATTAGGGTTTCACAATCATTTAAGGACATGACACTTTCCCACACCTTTTAGTAACCACATCCAGTGATCTCTATATGTCTGGAGCAAGAATTTTCAGTCATTCAGCTTATGAGAAAAGTGAAGTCAAAATGGTGGGAATTGAAGTCCAATAGCTATGAAGGTCATAAACAGTTTTAAAACCATTATTCCCAGCCAACACCAGCTTTTCTAATGGACTGTATCACTAATGAAGTTATCAGTTCATAAAGATTGAAGTCAAAATGTGAAATTGTGGCACACTTCTTGCCAGCTTCATGATAACCGTGCAAACAAAAACAGTAGAAAAGGACTGGAATTGACATCCAATCGCTCCTCAATTTATGCCATCTTGCATTAACTTTTTGGACCAATCTCGTTCCCCAAGCCTGTTATCCTCGGGAAGGAACGCGAGGCCCTGGGATAATCCGTTTCAGGGAGGAATCTGATTGGCCATTGAAATGCGTAGTTCAATCTTAGTCAGGAATCCTGGCTTCCGGCAACGGATTATCCCAGAGCCTCGCGTTCCTTCCCGAGGATTGCAGGCTCGGGGAACGAGTTGTTTTTGGACTCAAGTTCTTGCCCGAGGTATATATGGAGCTTGCTCGCCACATCATGCCTGAATAAAACTCAGGCTAATAAGGGACAGTACCAAAATCATTTCGTGTTAGACAGAGTGGGCAGATAGTCCTCGCCTTTGCTCTGAATGCTCTCCCCTTGACGAGTATTAAATATTATAAAATAGGACACATTGGGGTAATATAAACCCTCATACCAAATGCATGTAATTTTCCTTCATTAAAATCTTTCATTAAGTCTAATAAATCTTTCTCCATCTTTTTCACTTCGCTAGGATCAGTAAGAAATGAATGCTGTTGTAGAACACCCTGAGCCAGGCTGCGATCAGTTCTTGTTAGTTTTCGCTTTTCCTTTCCTTTCGACACTTCGCCAGCCATTGGACAAGATGCTAATATGCCTTCGTTATCTTTTTTTAATATATTAAAATGCTTTCGTCAATAAAATCTCGATATTATAAATTCCAAAACAAACCACAATGATATTTTGAATTTTTGATATTTTATTTTTTTAATAAAAACACAGGCCCTAGCCTGCGTTCAGGCACGTGTTTCCCAAAAACACAGGCCCTAGCCTGCGTTCAGGCACGTGTTTCCCAGGTACAGGCATACGGTACTTCATCTTGCATCATCATCACTGATCTGAAATAATCTTTACGGAGAGTTTTAGACAATTTTAGATCAGAACACGAGCGAACACAAGTGAACACGAGTGAACACGAATGAACACGAGTGAACACAAATGGAACACGAGTGAACACGAATGGAACACGAGTGAACACGAATGGAACACGAGTGAACACGAATGGAACACGAGTGAATCCACAATATACTTGCAAGATTACGTACTCGGGCTCTGTGCACGAGATTGTAACTGATTAAATGATGCTCCCATTATGCTTTGCACGCTTAGAGTTCAAGGCTCTGAGTTCAAGGTTTGCAATGCACAACCTTTTTTGAATTAGCTGTAATGAAATGCAATTGGCATCCATTTCATGTTGTTTTTCGCTCGGGGCCGTAGCGAGGGACGGTTGGGGTTGGTTAACCTGCCCCCCCCCCCCACTTTTTTAGAATTAACATATTAGGAAAATCGGGTTGGCCATTTGGAAAACTAGGGCAATAATAGTGACACGCTCGTATGTTCCCCAAAATCCTGTAATATACTCATGAACATCGCACGGATCGGAATTTTTCTTTGCCTTGTGATTTCTCGGGTGGAACTAATTAGAAAAGACAAACAGAAATTCCTCTGCATGATTTTCAGTCGTGTTTGTATGTATGGTGATGAGGAGACCGGTGTTTGGTATGCTGATCGATGATGAGTCTATACCAAAATCCTATTATATGCTATAGGTTAATGATACACAAACTTTTGGTTTTATTGGAAATTTTCAAAATAAATAAATGTAATACAATTCTTTGAAATTGCTCTAAAATTATGTAACGAAAATCACATAAATCCTAAATAAAATTAATTAAATTAGCCTGTCTCAGGCCACCGTTTTATTTGGGGTACAGCCTTTTCCAATGAGTAAGGATTTGTCTAAAGGATAGTTTCCACTCAGGAAAATTATCCGTGGATTGGAACGGACAAGAGAATTTTTCTTTGTGTTAAGTTAAAGTCATTAGTTCCAACCCAGAGCTCACAAAACAAAGAATTGAAAGAAAAACTTTCTTGTCCGTTCCAATCCACAGATAATTTTCCTGAATGGAAACTAGCCTTTACAATAATTTTGAGTATAATCATTATAAGTTCATTCACAGTTAAATATTTGAAAAAAAAATGTTTTCACATCGCTTCTGATTTTTCACGTCGTTTTCAAAAAAGTAACCCAAAAATAGCGAATTTGACCTTCGTAAGACAGGCTAATTATATTCTACATTAAAGTTCGTCCTTAATTCTAGAATGTTTCTCTAACTCGTCCCCAGGCTCAAAGTCATCCTCTCCGTCTTGTTCAAATTGGTCGTCTACCAATGCACTGAGTTCTTTCACCAAAACAGCGATCTTGTCCCACGTCTAATAATAATGAAAAAGATTATATTAATAAGCACATAAGCAGCCACACGAGAAACGCGGAAATATTGTTTCCTTGCCATGTTTGCGAAAGGTGGGCAAACCAGGAAACATTGTTTCCCAAAGGCAATTTAAAGGTGGGCAAACCAGGAAACATTGTTTCCCAAAGGTAATTTAAAGGTGGGCAAACCAGGAAACATTGTTTCCCAAAGGTAATTTAAAGGTGAGCAAACCAGAAAACATAGTTTCTGCACCTAGTTAAAGCACACTTCAGAGACGAAAAATATCTGAATTTGTTTCAAAAACCTCTGCTTTCTGGGAAGAAGATTTTCTTTCTGGAACTATCGCCTGTATTCTAAAAGTATACGTACACTCACACTCAAAGAGTAGAGGTTCAATCTGAGCTCCCCTTGAGTGTCAGTGCTGTTTTTGAATAGCTGGAGGGTTAGTGTCGTACTTATTATGTGACTACTCACCCTCCAGCTATTCAAAAACAGCACTGACACTCAAGGGGAGCTCAGATTGAATCTCCACTCTTTGAGTGCGAGTGTGCTTTTAGAATACAGGCGTATGTTTCCAACGATGAACTTAAGGAAACATCACTTATGGAAATATCAAAATTTCAAATGTTTCCGTAACTGACTACTTTGCCAATTTTGAAAAATGGTATTTTTTTATAAATGATATGATTGATTTCATCTAGAACTGCTATCAAGGTATTGGAGGAGCATACTTACTTCTGCACTCAGTGATGTAATATCTTCAGGTGCGAGCACGGCATCATGCGAAGGCTCATCAAGATAAGTAAATATCTAGAAGATGAATGTTTAGTTAATCACAAGCTAAACTTTATAAATCACAACAAGGTTGTTTTAAATTTTCTAAAGTATATTAAACCTTGTCTACTTTTCCCATCATTTCGTCAGACCATACCGCTCCCTCTTCAAAA